TGAAAAAAGTGAGTTTAGCCACTCAGCAACTAAGGTAAAACCGCTTGAAAAGTGTTAAATGAAAAAAGTGAGTTTAGCCACTCAGCAATTAAGATAAAACCTACCCTATGCAGTTATATATCAATTGTAAATCAAACATACACATATGAAACCAAAGTATTTAAAACATGCTTTAGCACATACCAATACTTATCAATCCAATTAACAAGTTTTTCATCTCACATATGTTATATACATAATCACAAGATACTCACACATGTGATCATGACCCGTTACAACCCGCAACTTGCCATAACTCAAAAAAATGTGACATGTCATATATTTATATAAGCAATGATCAACCAACCTTAAATCCTCCTTATTTTCTCAAACTAAAACCCTGGATTATAACACTAAATAGGGCTTCGTTCGTGTGACTGAATTATTTAAGCTCACCAATCATGAGGTGTGACCCGATCAAAAATCACATGACTCACTCTCGGACCACAACTTTACCCTTTCTCGAATCTTTAGGTTGTCTTATACCCCAGGCTATTCTCCTCATTGAATTAGTAGAGAAAGTTAGGTTTTAGTCTTTCGACAAACTATGGGACCGTCCCTCAATAAACTGCAGGATAAAGCTATACTCTCGTGCACTAAAGGACAGCCTAAATACTATATGGTTTTTTCTCTACTCCTAATTCCTAGGTGAACTCCTGCCCACTGATCATACCATCATCAATACTCACTTGTTTTTCACATTTCATTTATTCAAAATCAATCAACACATTGGGCTCACCATCGAATAACCACTAAAATCATTAATATTATATTTAAATACTCTAAACAACTTCTATTAACTTCATTTGAGTCAAGGGGTTCAAACCCATACCCTATATGGATTGAAATCATCATCCTTATTTAAACTTTAACCTAAATTCTTGAGAAAATGGAAGAGAAAAATAAGAAAAAAGGTTTAAGAATCTTACGTTAGATGATTTGGAGCTTTAAACTTTCTTAAATTCTCCCCTAGGTTGTGTCCTAGTAAAGCAAATATGAGCTCCTCCATTTCCCTTTCCCTTCCTTTATGTTTTTCTTATCAAATTGCGACTAAATTCTGTAGAATTCACACTGTGCACCGCGACGCATGTCCCCACGCACTGCAACATGTGATACAGAGAAGACAACGCTTTCTTAGTGGCTTTGTGTGCCGCGGTGCATCGTACATGCGCTGTAGTATGTGACACAAAGGTTTTTTAACTTGTTTTTCTTCACTTTTTGGTCTCTAAGTAACCCAATTTTACTTTAAACCTAAATTATATTTGAAATTCTAACTAAAAATATTTATTATTCTCTTTTGACCACATATCACATTAACTTACTTAATTATCCTAATTAAGCTTAGCAAATTAGAAAATTAAAAATTGGAATATTACAAATACTATAGACCCTAAATTTATTTATTGTGTAAGTTGCTGTATTGACTTTTAAAATGGTACAATTTAGCCTTTATCATTAACAAAAATTATCTTTGACTATTAGCTGACCAGAACATGACAAAAAAGGATCTCAAAAATTACAAGAAAAAATCAAATTTTTTTGCCATTTTTGTAATTTTTCAGTTCCTTATCTATAATTTTTTAATCTATTTTGTAATTTTTGAGACTTTTTTTATCATTTTTTAGTTGACTTTTTGTTAATGACAAGGGTTAGATTATACTTTTTAAAAAAAATTAAGAAAAAAATTTACATAATAAATGTGATACTACTTGATCTAAAATTTAAGAGTTAATTTGAGCATTTGTCCTAAACATTATTAATAAATTATTCCCTTCATCTCAAATTATAAAACACTTTAAATAAAATCTTACATACCAATAAATCTCATTAAATACACTTAATAACCTTATATTTTCAAAACAAAAATATAAACTTTTAAAAATACCCATCATTTAATATACTGAAAAGAGAAAGGATAGAAATTAATTATAAAGAGAGAAAGAGTAATATTAAAATTGGTGCAATTAATGAAACCTTAATTTATTTAAAATATTTTATATTTTAAAATAAAGAAATTCCTTCAAAAGTATCCTGTAATTTAGGATGGGAGGAGTATTATTGTATGTGTAATCTATATATATAATAGAAGAATAACAAGCACATCTCTATGGATGACAGGTGTCATTTTCTTCAAATACTATAATTTCAGAAAACCACGTAAGATTTCATTTATAAAATTATTTTTAATTCATGAATATAATTTATTTTTATTCCTTCCTTTTAGTCACTTCTTAACCCATGATCTAATAATTTTTTAATCTCGCTATTTCTCTTTTAGATATGATTAGTTATTCAGGATTCTATCATTTTAATAACTTCCTTGCTTTACAATTTAGTTTTTTTTATTTTTTTAATTCATACATATAATTAAATTTAAATTTAGATAGTTAGTGAGATTATTCATTCCAGTAACTTCTTAACTCATGATCTAATGATTTCCTAACCTTATGATTCCTCTTTTAGATATGGTTAGCTATTCAGTATCTTATCATTCTAATAACCTCCTTACTCTACGATTTAATTTGTATTTTTTAATTCATGCATATAATTAAATTTAAATATGAATAGTTATTTTGATTATTCTACCATTCTAATAACTTCTTAGATCAATTATTCATGTAGAATTTGGTGAGAATATATATATATATATATATATGAATAAATAAGAAACACTTTTTCAAGTTTGACATGTATGAGTTTTTTTAAAATATTACAATTCCATGCTATTTACATCATTATTAATTTTTAAAAATATATTTTCTAATTTATAAGATTGTAATTTAAAAATGTAACTTCTCTCTCATAATCTCAAAATCCTAGATATAATTTCCCAACTGATTCACAATTTAAAATTTTATTTTTGATATTCTCTCTCATAATCTCAAATATAATTTCTTGAATATTGTTATTTTGTGAGTAATTTTGAATTGGTATGATAATTTTATGAATAATAATTTAAATAATTTTTTTCAAATCAAATCATATAAATAAATAAATAAAAACTTAATGATAAATGTATGAATTAATAAAATATTTATAAGTTATCCACGTCAACATTAATTTGTAAGAATAATTTTTTTACATAATATCAATTTTTTTATAGATGATAACAATATTATCTTAAATCATAAAAACTACTTCCTTTTATTCCTAAATTTTCTTTCTCATAGTTTTATTCATTGTCATAACTTTTCAACTTCTTTACCACCTAAAATATACAATTTTAGCATGTACATTAGATTTTCTATCAAATCTTCTTAAATATTAAAAAAGTGTTATACTTAAAATTAAATGAGTTATTTTAATTCCTATTTTCTCTCATTTCTCTCCCACTCTCCTATCATCATAACTTTCATTATTTTTTTTTTCTTATTTTTAGTTTTAAAATTCTAATTATACAAATACATGATCACATTGAGCAGTTATAAAGCATACGAGATTTTCTTTCAATTCTAATATCATTTAATTGCTCCATTTTCTCATCAAGACAAGCAAAATCACAAAACTCTCATTATCTCTGGCTTCTCCCCTCGTCACCAATACCATCTCACCCCTTGTGTTATCTTTTATGATGATTTTTCATTCCTAGTCAATGGTGTGATGGGATTGTTATGTACTTGTAGATATCGAAAGAGCAATTTAATTTTTGATATATCTCATATTCATAGTAGATACCAGATAATTGCACATAAGCATGCATTTTGCAATTTTTTTACTAAATTTTTCTCCATCATTTTAAATCAGTCTTTCATAAGCAACCGAATTGAAAAAACTTATTGTGCTCTATTTTTGTGAAGTTATGGTTTTATAGAATTTAATTTTTAGTTTTTGAAATATTTATTGTAAATTGTATGATGATTTGGTAATCATTTTACAACTCTACAGGTATATTAAAATTGAATGAAGAGGAAGATATATATTGACATGGTTCTTCACATCAACACAAAATAATTTTTCTTTCACTCTTCATATATCTTAGCTCTTGGGCACCTTTTTATAAATCTTTTTTCAAAAGCATACTTATAATAATTTACTCATAGTGATCCAAATTTCTTAATTTCAAATGATATTTTAATGATTTGTGTTTAATTTTAATTTTTATTTCAATTATAAATATCAAATGAATTAATCAAATTTTAAATTTTAAAATTATATAGAATTTGTATTTGAAAAATAATGGCTTAACCATTAAATTTGTGTTTTGATCTTAATGATATTTTATATTGTAATATCTTAGTTGCAAGTTTGAAAATATTGATGTTTGCGTTGAAAATTAAATTTTCAATATATATTAATGTTTATTTGTTGATATTTATAAATCAAAAAAAATTATAGTACTTTAAAAAAATTTCTACCCTCATGTGATTTAATAGAAAAGATGGAGCCATGCAATTTTTATATTTACCTTACAATCTTAATTTTTCATGGATTATATATGAAAACAACATTACAAACTATCTAATTATTAGATAAACCTATAAATAATAAAGAAAAAATTGCAATATCAGCATAATAAAAATAATAAAGTATATTATAGTTTACAAAAAAGATATTTCGACAACTGTAGGGTATTAGATTTGATCAATTATGGTAGCTTTTCTACTAAAGTGAAAACAAAACAAAATAAAGAAATTTGATAAATGAGTCAAAGAAAAGAAGTAAAAGGTATGGAGAGAGAGGCCACCATAATTTTAAGGTATTTGAGGATTCATGATGAATTTTTTAGTTTTTATTTTTATAATTCTACACTCATCTTATTAGTTAATATTGTAATTTATTTTATGCAAATTTTTCTCATTTATATTGATTAATATTTTAAAATAAAATTATTTTAAGTTACAAAAATACCCCGTTCATGACATAGGTACCATACTAGTTTTACAAAAAAAAAAAAATCTTATAAACTGAAACAGTATGATAAATTAAAATATAAAAATAAAATTATGTCGCCATATCAAATCTGGTCTGGAGTACCGAAACTGCTCCCGTCAGTTCTCCGCCAGCACCATCAATTGGATAAACCCGGGCGGGTTTGCTGGTGCGAAGCACTGTTCGGCGAGAGTTTGAACTCTGAAAGTACAGCCTCATTTTACTTCAATGTTGCCATCTTCTATCTTCACACACACACACATTTTTATGTACTGAGACATCGGCTCTCCTAATACCTTGGGCCTTGACGCTATGGCTATCTTGATGTCCCCGATAAAAGTTCCTTCTACTTCCGCTAAGCTGAGTTCGAAGCTTGCCCCCGAAAACACTATACACGAGTATCTACTTCCAAGCTTCCTTCATTTCCCAGGTAATATCGCTAATCCTCTTCATCTGCTTTAATTACTCTCTCCTGCGGAAATCCCATTGCCTGAAACATCGTTCTTCAGACTTTCGTATAGAGACTCGCAAATGCTTTAAGAAAGCCTGTCCACCGATTCGTTTTGCGCTGAATAATCAGTCCACCATTCAGACAATCCGGAACAATAATGGGAAACTCACTTCTAGGAAAGACAGTAGAAATCCCGTGTTCAGTGAAGGCAGAGATGAAGACGAAAGTCGTGGACCTATTTGCCCTGGTTGTGGAGTCTTTATGCAAGATAAAGACCCAAACGTTCCTGGGTACTATCAACAAAGGAAGCTTAAAGTGGCAGAAATTTCGGACGAGAACGATGTGCTTGATAGTGAACTTGAAGGGTTTGATGAGGGTGGATTTGAAGAAGATGATGAGGACGACGAGGGGTTTTTGGATGAAAGTGAAGATGAGTTCGAAGAAATCAAAGGGGGATTATCAGATCAGTTTGATTGGGATTCTGACGAGTGGGAAGCTAAATTACTCGAAGAAGAGGATGACAAGCTGATTGTGGACGGATTTACTCCAGCGGGGGTTGGGTATGGTAACATCACGGAGGAGACTCTGAATAGGGCAAAGAAAAAGAAAGTGTCCAAAGCTGAGAAAAAGAAAATGGCTAGGGAAGCTGAGAAGGGGAAAGATGAGGTTACTGTTTGTGCTCGGTGCCATTCATTGAGGAATTATGGGCAGGTGAAAAATCAAACAGCTGAGAATTTAATACCTGATTTTGATTTTGATAGGTTAATTTCTACCCGGCTGATGAAACCTTCTGGCAGCGGCAGTGCCAGTGTAGTTGTCATGGTTGTGGATTGTGTCGATTTTGATGGTTCATTTCCTAGAACAGCCGCAAAATCACTGTTCAAGGCCCTGGAAAGAACCATGGACGACCCTAAGCTAAGCAAGAAGCTGCCAAAGCTTGTTCTCGTGGCAACAAAAGTTGATCTTCTTCCGTCTCAAGTCTCTCCCGCAAGGTTAGATAGATGGGTGCGGCAGCGTGCAAGGGCTGGTGGAGCACCCAAGTTAAGGGGGGTTTATATGGTCAGTGCACGAAAAGATTTAGGTGTAAGGAACCTGCTTTCCTTCATAAAAGAATTGGCTGGTCCTCGCGGGAATGTGTGGGTAATTGGAGCTCAAAATGCAGGCAAGTCTACGCTAATCAATGCATTTGCCAAGAAGGAAGGAGCTAAGGTTACGAAACTCACGGAAGCTCCAGTTCCTGGAACGACACTTGGGATCTTGAGGACTGGAGGAATTTTGTCAGCGAAGGCCAAGATGTTTGACACTCCAGGGCTTTTGCATCCATATTTAATGTCAATGAGATTGAACAGGGATGAGCAAAAAATGGTTGAGATACGAAAGGAGCTTCGGCCACGGACATACAGAATGAAGGCATGTTGCTTTTGCTGTTGTTGCTCTCTATCCAGATCATGAATTATTACGGACATGCATTTCTTCTTGTCTTGCGTGGATTGTGTGCATGCTTTGCGCAAGCTCAACAACTAAGGGCTAGCAGAAACAAATGCGCTTCTTATTGAATTATTGTGAATTTTAATTAGTACTTGATAAATCTACCCTTTAAATCTTAACTGAAAATATGCTTGCTAAATTTGAAGTGTTTGGCAAAGAGGCTAAAATATCAGCAAAGCAGTCCTTTCTGCCTCTGCATACCTGGAATGTGACTGAGACATTATTGTATATGCTTTATTTTTTGTGGATGAGCATGCTGGTAAATCATGCCTTGCATGTATGCACATGAAAAGTAGGCTTGTGAAGTCGTAATCCTTAGTATCTATTCTCCTATACTAGAACATAGATAGAAGCTATTTGTTGTAAATAACATGAACACCCTTCCTTGACCTGTTGTCCATGGCTTTATGCCTAACTTTTCTGGTTTTGAGTTTTTGCAGTTGGCAGGTTAATATTATACGTGTTAAGTACATGTATTTGAATATTGGAGATGTTGTCAGAACTCAGAATTTAATTATCGGTTTAAACTTACAGGTAGGGCAGGCTGTTCATGTTGGTGGTTTGATGAGACTTGACCTTAATGAGTCTTCTGTTGAAACAATATATGTCACAGTTTGGGCATCACCTAATGTTTCTCTGCACTTGGGGAAAATAGAAAATGCTGATGAGATTTGGAGGAATCATGTTGGTTTTAGGTTGCAGGTAAGCATCTTCCTTTTCTCCTGTCAAACTAATTATGGTCGTAATCGACATTGTACTAGTGATATTAGGGTCATATTTTGTTTTACTATGAGCTTTCAGTACTGCATTTTCCAGATATCTATATTTATGGCTTGTAAACAGTGCAACTCTCTACACTTCTTATATTTTAAATCAATTTGTTTGAACTAACAGTACTTCCTCGTAAGACAACTAACTAAGCTAATTTTGAGACTTCTATTCATCTAAGTTCCTGGGGAAGAGGAGCTTTTAGAACTAGTTTTTTTTTTTTTTGGGTAATATAAGGGGTTTTGATGAAATATTCATATGAATTTCCTGCGAGATAGTTGAAATGTGTTATAAATGATTACTTCATCTTTCTTTCATCCCCTCACGCTACTTAGTTTTTTGTTTCTCACTTTGGCGCTCCATAGAATAGAATTGGCACTGAATCTGTTGTTATATTTTAGTGTGAATTCCAATGCTTTAGTTCCGAGTATATCTAGCTTTTCTTTCTTGATTGCTTGGTATTTAGTATAGGACACAATTGTGGCAACAGGGAAGAGTTGAGATTATCTTTGCTTTAATTTTTTTTAGACATTTGTCAAGAATGCCTGAATAAAAGTTATGTAAATGAAGAGCAACTTTAGTGTGTGAAAGCTAAAAATTACTACCTCGTCCGAAAAGAGGACTTTCTACTCTAATAAGATCCAAACATGTTCAAACCTGAAGGGAGCAAACGGGGTCGGGGCGTACAAACATCTGTGAAACCAAATACTTGAAACCATAAAACTACATCTATGATGATTTATGAACTTTGTAGTTGTAGATGCTTCAAATCTAAAGGAGTGGGCTATAGTTCTGAGGGATTGCTTTGGAAGAGCAGGAAGAGCATTCTTTGCCTTGATGAATGAGTAAAATGAAGTCAAATATGGTGATTTTGGTGATGACTGATCTGGTTCCTCAGCCAGACAACTTATATAGGAATTGATGTTCAAAAGTCAAGATCATTTGTTAGGGGTGGGATTCCTGTGAGCAGTATATATTCTTAAATGAGGAACCGTGCTACTGTTGTTTCTGGAGTATTTGACACAATTATGGATATTTTCTGCATCATACACGCATGTCAGTATCCCCATCCCCAAACAAAAGCAAATAAGCACATAGCAAAATACAAGGTTTCGATTTTCCATTAGAAGAAGCTTCACTGGGTCAATATAGCAATATTCAGAAGTTTGAAAGTAAATGGGTGTAATTATGGAATGTTCTCTACGAAAGGCTGTGAACAAGGAGCTCCATGTGGCTATCAGAGAGATGGAAAAGACACATAACTAGTGACAACATGCAAAGAAAGGACCTACTTACAGATATAAAACACACAGAAATGATGCTTTTCTGGCTAGAGCTATATATGCTTTATTTAAGTCAGACCAACTGCTATGAAGGTTTAGTGTAGAACCCGATCTAACCTGACTAGCAAACCTGGCCTATTTCCTCCCCTCTCCTTTTAAGGTTCCCCTTTTATTCTTTAGGTCAGGTTAGGTTTCTCCGGGGAAGTAGGCTATGTAGGTTTCAATATGCATACAACTTCCATGGCGTGAAACAAAGTCGTGCTCTACTATTATTAATATTACTATTTTCCTAAAAATGCAACGCATGATGTCTGTGCTTATTCTAACTGTATTTGGCTTTATTTGTATTCCAGCCACCCATTGGCAATGATCGCACAGTTGAATTAGGCACATGGCAAGGGAGGGAAATAAAAGCTTCTGGAGCCAGTTGGGAAGTTAATAGCATAGATATAGCAACGGCTGGTTTGGGTTGGTTATCTTTGGGTCTAAAAGGTGAAGCAGCTTTGACATTGTGGACCTACGATGGCATTGAAGTAACTATGAGAGAGCCCTTGGTTCTTGACCGGGCCCCATTCCTTGAGAGACCTGGTTTTTGGCTGCCGAAAGCCATTTCTGATGCTCTTGGCAGCCAATCTAAACTTGAAGCTCGGAGGAGGAAAAACCTTGAAGACGACACAGAACTTGTGGCAGAGGCATCTGCTTGAACAACAAGCTTGCCTCTTTTATAGAATACAAGTTGTAAACGATAGAACTATGCTTTTCCCAGGCATTAAATTAGGGTAAAGTTTCCAATGAGTTGTGAACAACGAACAGAGACTAAAAATGGGGTAAATATTTTGAGGAAGTTGACAGATGTAAAAGCATTTTGTAATTTCCCTGATTTGGCTACCAAAAATAGGTTATCTGGATTGAAAGTACTTGTGACTCTTTCTAAGTTGATGGATTATGACATGAGTAAATTAAATCCTGTATTTCCGGATGAAGGGTGAGGCTGGAATTTATGTTTACTGTGGAGGGTCCTTGGGAGGTTAGACATGTTTGTAGTGTAATTATGTTGTTTACGAAATTTAAGGTAATTGGTTACCTTAGCCTGTTTCATAAGATTGTCGCGCCTTTCTTCGTCGAAACTTGGACGAACTTGTGAAATTATATCTTCATTGAAGTGTCTAATATTAGCTTATGTATTCAGTAGCCCCGACACCACGCGAGATTTATTCATACAAGAAACAACTATCCTTTTTTCCCGCTTTTTCATCTTAATCCTTGAGTGGGGGGTGGGGGTAAAAGTAGCCCTTCAAGAGGCTTTGAACAATTCTTCTCCGTACTCTTTTTGAACAGAAATTTTAAACCTTGCTATGTAGCAATTAAGTAAAGGCTAGAAGATACAGATAATATTGTAAATATCTAAAGGAACCATCCAAGCTGCTAAAAGCCATCCGTGGGCTCATGTTGAAAGCTTCCCTGCATGCTCTGCTTCAACTCAAGTGTCGGACCCTCTTACCTCTGAATCATGAATCAATAAGTGTGAGTTTAAGAAATTCAAACTTATTGCTTGAAGTAAGGTGATCTCCTATTCTAGGGGACCTTTCCTTGAGATTCAGAAGATTGAATAGATTCCTCAGGCTGAACTTCCATCATAAAAGAATCTTCACCGACGTCAAAATCAAATGTATCAGGCAGCAGATTAGTGATGCTATTGATGTCGAATTCATGCTCTGTATTGTCGTAAAAACCTTCCTCGTCCTGGTGGCTGAGCCAGTAGTCATGATACCAGGGAAACGTTGTTACCAGTTGCCACCATTCTGGAGAAAAATCCTCCACTTGGCGAAAGGCGGTGGGAATGTAAAGAGGAGCATTAGGATTCAACGTTGAGCTTCCTCCCGAAACTGACGTCATCTTCTGGGATCTTCCACTCTATCCTTGTTCTTTTTCTGCGCCATAAAAATCACAGCAACAGAGTACCATCGGTGTTAAAAGTGCAAAATGAGAAGAAATCTGCAAAATTAACTCAAAATTCCCCATCTTATACCCGTGTTCCTGTTTAAGGGAACTACAGAAGCTGCTTATCCTAAACCACACCAAAATATTGAACCCCAATAAACAATTCAAAATTGCTAATCTATGTGTGGAGCCACAGAGAGTTAGAGTTGTAGAATAAAGCAGCATCGATGACTACCACCAAAGAACGGGAAACGCAAACTGGAAAAAAAGTTGCAAACTTTGCAGTTTCAAACACTTGCCCTAGCAACCAAACAGTTAAGCGAGAGAGAGAGACATGGGGGACTCGTCAGAATCGAATACAACCTGAAGAAAAATCTCGAGATGGCAAACTGCTCGAATAAGCGCTGGGAATGCAAGGTAGAGGGGGAGAGAGCGGGCGTAGTTGCTTATATGCAGAGCAGAGGCAGGGCATAATGGTTTCCCCGTCGAAAAGTGGGGCCCAAGATTAGCTGAATGCACCACCCACACTGTTCCGCGAGACTTCGTAGTCGGACGCGAGCTCCATCCTAGAAGCGGGCAAGGTCAATGACGCGTAAAGCTGTTCTGTGTTTTTCTCGACTTTAACGTGCTCATATTCATTCTTTAGCTTAAGAACATGATTTAATTGTGTGCAGATACATAAGCATCGGCGTGAAAAGAATTATGATGACTTTGCCATGAAATTTTAGGTTGGGGTCTCTCTCTCTCTCTCTCTCTCTATATATATATATATATATTTTAAAAAAAGTTACTCTTTCAATTAAGCTCAACAATAGTGGAATATAATTAAATAGCATTGAAAATCTTAGATAACCATGCGAAAAATATTTAGAAAATTGTTTTATATTCAAAATCAAGTAAATCAGTTTTTTTATTATCACAATTGATAACTGACTGTTATTGACCGTGATATTTATGTAGATCAGGTGTGTTTAAATGTTAAATTAGACTGGACATGGTGGTAGGGGAAAAAATTAAGCTGGATGTTAGGTTGAAATTGGAGCTTGAAAAAATTTGATTTACAATCATGATTTTAAGTAAGATCAATTTTGCCCTTACATAATTATGTTTGGCCTTGGAGATTAATTGTGACAGTTTTCCAAGCAGACCCTTCGTCCTTTTTTTTTTAGATTTTTTTTTTTGAATATGCAAATTTAATCCAATCCGACTTTAAAAGGTTGGTAAGACCAAATAATTGAAGGAACACGGAAAGATCATATCACCTCCATCAATTCATTATGATGTTAATTAATCCCATCCTTGTCTTATAATTGGGGAACAACTAAGAAGGAAATAAGCCCACTTTTCACATGTCCTGTTGGTCCATTAGCATAATGGAGAATCTTCCTGATAATATCCTCACAAGAGCAAAAAGCTCCACTGCTACCCCACTTGTTGATATATTATATGCAAAACAAAACCTAATAGCATCTTAATCCCAGTAGGGTCATCCTTTATCACATCACTGTTTTGAAAAAGAATAAAAGCACCTATCCAGGATAGCAATTTAAAAACTTCACCATGTGGTTCAATTATTTGTAATGCTTTTCTTTGAGTTCTTTCATCGTTGCTAAATTAAATTTATATTTGTTCTTTCTGACATATTTAATCAAAATTATACATTTCCATAAATTTATTAATTACCTTTAAAATTATTTTTTTATGTTTACTCTTATTTAACATAATATCTCTGTTAAAAAATGTATTGATTTAACAATTACACTTCTAATTAAAAATATTTTTTTAATTTTTTTTATAAATTACTCCTTAAAAAAGTTAAATACCTTATATTTTTAGCATGATATTTAACAAATACTTCATAATATTGAACCGCTTACAGAGGGAGTGTTTTTTTATGAGAAAAAATTTCAAGTGAGTTGTGTTTCATAGCACAATTGAGTATTAATGTAGTAAAATAATAACTATTAAGTTATAACAAAATAACAACGGTTAATAGAAATTGTGGGATTTAATTGTGTTAAGTTTCGCTGACAGATTTTTGAAAAACGAAAATCTTAGTTTTTGACGCTTGATTTTGGGAGAATCTCATAAAAGGCCCTAAAAGTAATTGCTCTCAAAGTCCAATAAATCTTGAAAATGCTTTACAAGCCCAAAGTCTCATTTGCAATAAATTTCAAAAGCTGAAAGACTAAATTAGCCTTGATCTAGAAAACAAAACACATCGTTCGAGAATCTGCTTCACGAAACCACGTAAATTTTCTCTAGCATTTAACTTCCTCCTGACGTCGCTGAACCTCAATCTGGGATGTTTCTTCGTTTACTTTTGTTGTTGCCATGGGATATGATTCTCAGACGAATGATTACAAGGCTTTAAGGATGTGGACGATGACGAAATATGGTGATCGACGCATTATAAATGGTGTGGAGGAGTATTCTTTGAGCACTGATTCATGGACTCCACTGTCCATTTACAGCTTCTTCCTGGACTCGTACAATCATAGCCTATTAAGTTTCCATAGACACCCATTTATCTCTATTCTTCCGCTCTGTTTCAAGTGTTTCTATTTTCAGAAATAGGGGTTACTGTTTTGTGAACAACTTGACGATGAATGATGGGGTAAAGCTATAGCTCAGTAAGGTTTCATGGATTAAATTAATCAGAAGCCAAATCAAGTTTTGTTGGGCGAAAAATGCAATTTGCCTTCTTTGCTTTCCAGACTCCGGTTCGCAGCATTTTGAGCAAAAAGGGGTAATAAAATCATGTACTGGCCAAAACAATGCAAGTCCAATTATTTACAACAAAAGGTCCATGTATTTATAAAATTCTATAAAAATTAACCAAAAAAATAAAAATAAAAGTCCAATTAACAACAGAAAGATTACAAGTTTACCAAAGAAAATTAACAACAAAGAGTTCATAAATAACAAAAAAAATCCAATTATTTAGTAAAAATATAATATTTGATCTTTATAATTTTATTGTATTTTGTTTTTAGTTTTTTTTTGTTTTTAGTGTTTTTAGTCTCTGTAATTTTAGAAAGATTTGGTGACCTTTCTTTCTCATATCCCTATAATTTTTATTTTTTAATAATTTTAGTTCCTATAGGGACTGAAAACACTAAAAAAAATATAGGAACTAAAAATAAAATTTAATAAAACTATGAGGATCAAAGATTATGTTTTCTCAATTATTTATAACAAAAAGGTCTATGTAATTTATACATTTTGAAAATAATATGTATAAATTTTGTATAAATGTGTAAATTACTTTATGCAAGATTTATACAAAACGTTGTTAGTTATGATTATTTGTTCTGACCAAAGAAAAAATAGCATTGCCATGAAAAATTGGATTACATGTGCAAATAGTGATGTTGTCATGTTAAAATTGAATGTTTAGTTGTAAATTTTGAAAATTTGCTATGACTAGGCTACTAGTACAATTTGGTTTGTTTGTTGAACTCTAGCAGATGTTTTGGAGTGAATTGTTTGTAGTAAAATCATGATGATTTACTTGTTTATCTTGAATGTTTACATATGAATTGAGAAATTCATGACTTGTCCATTATCATGATAACACTTTCTTAAAAACACTGGACTATGTATTGTGAAAACATGAATGTTGACTTGTTTATATTAAATGTTCAGTTGTAGAAAATAAAAGTTGGATTTATGTACATAGATATTTTCTTAGATTAATTTGTTCATTGTAGGTTCTTACAAGAGATTGATTATTTTAATCATCATTTCCTTAATTTGAACTTTGCCAATATGAACTTATCAATTTCAAACCTTTGCTTGTGAATATATAGACCTTTCCTTGCAAATATGAACATAGATTTATTAATATATGAACCTTTTGTTATCAATAGATGAACTAGCAGTTGATAAAATCAAAGTAAATACAACTGAATATCCGTAAATAAAATGAAAAGGTCTATATTAACAATACAAGGTACTTACTTTATATATTGTTATGTGGTTTAGTAGCTCAAGAATAATGTACAATTTGCACAAGTGGAATTTACAACATAACATTCATAAATTGCAACAAAATGTTCATATATTAACAATACAAAGTCCTTACTTAATACACTATTTGTATGTATTAGTATGACTATAATGTACTAGTTACTGTAGTGAAATTTAAAATAGAACATTCATAAATAACATGACAATATTTGTATGTTAACAACACAAGGTTCGTCTATATAAAGTTCCTAAATGTGCAAAAGTTAACGACAAAATTTGTACAATAAAAGCTTCATAAATAATAACATGCTTTCATTGAGTTAACAAGAACATGTTCATCAAATTTAGACAATTTCATGCTAGTATTGGCTCTTCTATATTAAAACAAGTACCAATATGAAATTTTACATCACATCCTACTATACGAGAGGAAACCTTGTACCCTTGGAAAAAAGTTTTCAATTTTTTTCATTTCACCAATTACAGAAAGCCATTCAGTTAGAATTTTCATGGTCACATAGTCACATCTACAAGCATCTTTTACCATTTGACTATATCTCTAGCCTTATCAAGAGGGCATTGCATAAGGTGGCTTCAACTATACCACCCAATTTCATTACATCATGTAAATGATCTTAAGCAAGTCGAGTCTTTTGTTTCTCCTATAACTTGGTTATGTGATTGTGTGCAGGCTAGGATGAATCTAGGATGAGGTACTTGTGGGTAAGAATGGGAAAATAAGAGAGGAAAGGGAGGGCAAAAAATTATTCAGTGTTTTTTACAAGTAAAATACCTAGAAATTATAGCAAAACATGAAAGTGTTGGGGGAAAGGGCAATGGCACACCTTGCCCTCCCCTAAAGATTTGTCACTGTGTGTAGGTGGTAAAGCATGTGGTTGTAACATCCTAGATTTTTATTCTGAAATTTCCAGTACTTATAAGGGTAATTTAGTCAAGTTAAATAAATTATTACTTAACAATGTTTTTGGGAGACTAATGTAGCTATTGGATCATTGGACAGTCTTAGAAGAGGGTTAGATTGAAGTTCGAGTAGGCTGTGGTTTAGAGGGAGATTTAAATCGTAAAGGAGACTTTCTGTGCCATGCGCCATGGCACACGTGCAAAATTTACACTTATCAATTTGTGAAATCAGACTGAAACTCAAAAAAGGGAAAGAGAGAATGTGAAGAGGCGACGAGCAATGACTAGTGGGTGCTAGGGCTCGACCTTAAGATCATTTTAGAAGTATTTGAAGCAAGACTTAGCTTTGAGTAAGTTTCTTACACCTCTTCCTCTCCCTTTATGTGAATTTTCTAAAGATTAAGGTATTATGTGTAACACACCAAATTTTTTTATTTTTTATAATTTAACTCAACCATAGTTGG